TGGAGGCTCCATAAGTAAAGCTTCCCTGGTCAGCCAGGGGAACCTTTAAAACAGTGCAGTAATCCAGGCTGGAAAAAAAAAAGTTAACTAACTTTTAGCTTGGATCAACTGTTACTGCTGCAGCAAGCAGGTACCACATGGAACAGCTGCTGAAATTGAAGTACAGGACCATGAAATAAATATCAATCCAAGGTTGTAGACCCCCAAGGCATCATGAAACCAGTAATTAAAGAGAGAATATCAGGCAGATTAAAAGCCTAAAGACAGAACGTGCTTTGTAAAAGCTGTGATAAAGGCGGGAATCAATGCTTTAAACTGAGAAGTAGGAATCATTCAGCAAAACTGTAATTAAAGTGGTTATTATTGATTAAGGCCATGAACAGCAGGATTTGTATAATGTAGAATCCTCAGTAATTGTGAACAGCTAAACACAATCCTAAAATAGCAGAACTGAGAAGGTATCCAGAGATAAGTGTGGAGTTGGAGGAACACAGGCCGGGCAGCATCAGAGGAGCAGGAAAGTTGACATTTCGGGTCAGGACTCACCCGAAATGTCAACTTTCCTGCTCTCCTGATGCTGCCTGGCCTGATGTTTTCCTCCAGCTCCACAGTGTTATCTCTGACTCCAGCATCAGCAGTTCTTACTATCTCTGAGTGAGAAGGTATCCACATTGGTTTAATCAATAATGCAATTGCGGAGGGTGAAGAAGATGGTGAAACCAATCAACATGACGTACAACGTAAATCTTTTATGTCCACACGAATCTACAGGCGGATTGAGAATAAAAGAATTCTGACAGATTGAGGACATGGTGAATTTAACTTCATAGCATCCGCCACCTGAGGAGGGATCATCAATGTCCCAATAATCTAGGATACTGCAAAGAAGCACCTGTCTGTTTGGATGAAAAAAGGTTCTTCAAAGAAATCCAAGAGATTACAGGTTCTCCAGTTTAAAGGAATTTGCAAACCTTTCACTGTTCGGAAGGTAATCATTTGGTCTTCCATCTAGCTAACTTATCAGTCATTTGAGTTGGGAGATAAGTTGGAAGCTGGAGTAGTGAAACCTCCAGATCACTGGAATTTATAAGGCCAGAGGCTTGGTGGAGGGATCGGGGGATGAGAGGGATGGGATAGTGGTCGTTGGAGCATACCCCTCCCGACCGGGGACAAAAATTCAGGAGACAGGCAGGATTCGGGCACATGGGAGATGTTTATCCAAGTAGAAACTGATGCAGGGACAGGGCCAAAAGATCTTCCTCAAATCAGAAGGGAGATCAATGATGCACTCTGATTTTTACAGTAAAAATGCAGCATTTTATACACTTTGTACTTGATCATTGTAACATAGTCACTGTCCTTCCCTCTTAAACCATATATCCAATCCCATGGCTCACCTCATCAATGATGGGCACTCCTACGGACAGCCCCAGGATCCCATGGTCTTATGGCGTTTGTAATCTCTCAGCCTTGGGATCTTTCTATGCATCCTAATCTTTCACATTCCAAAAGTTTACTGGCTACACTCCTTCAGATCTGTCTCAAGCTGCTTATCTCGAAGGACAGTGTGAATTCTACTATTCATTGTATTTATATGTGCTTTATTTTATCAAATTCAGCCATTCCTCTAATAGTTTCCATTGTCCCGATTAAATAATATTAAAATAATAAGTCAATTAGTTTAATTAATTGCTATAAGATTAATTTCTGTTATAAAGTTAATTATAAAGTGTTATGTAATATAACTGCTACTGTTAGCATTTTGTATTGTATGGGTTGTGAGCAATTTTTCCTCTTCAGGGCAAACGAGAAGGCATCTCCTAAGGCTAGTTAACCTTCACATCTAGGCGAAAATGTTTTTTTTTTAATGCTTGTATTATATTCCGGTTATGTATTGAAACCAACTTCTATGATTAAAGCATTTTAAATTAAAAAATATTTAATATTGCAGGTAGCTTCAAAGAAGCTACGATTTACTACGAAATAACCTTAGCTGTCATCCTTGCAGCTGCTTAGGGACTTAATCTAGCATCTGATGTTATTCATTGTCCCAGTAAATCATCCTTTCATTAATAAGGCCAGAATTGGTCATTTATCTGTCCTAAGGCATCCTTTTATCAGACTGTCTCCGATGGGAACATGCAGTGTTCTTTTACTGTCCTTCTAGCAGTTCTATAGAAAGGTACCATTGTATTTCACTGTGTGAGCAGGTTGCTTAGTTTTGCTTAGCTTCTGTCTGCCTCCTTGTAAGCAGGCTTGGGCTGCTTAATGTGGTCAGGTACAGATCACCCCTACAGTGGTAAATGTAGTTATATACAAGTATAATATTTAGTATGTATAATATTGAGTCTTGTAGGGATGTTGTAGTATTTGAGTATGGAAGGGTTATTATTGAAGAGTGCCATAAGGACCACCTGCTATGATATCTTGTGGACAAGTGGGCAGAGTACTTTGGATTCCAGAGGAGAGTGAGATCAAATGTCTGGTTGTCCTCAACATCTCTGATATATTCTTTTTACAATGTAATTTGCAATTGATTGCTAAAGTGCAATAAACTATATCATGTTAACTACAAGAAACTCTTCTAATTAGGCCAGGAAATGGGTTTCTTCTACTATTCTAGACTAACAAGTTGTTTTCTACATTTGGTGAGAACCGTGGCACCAGCCTCCTTCATGGGCATCAGTTCCTACAGCCTAGTGAGCTGGTGTGCTGATTCAACAGATACCTCACTCTTTTTGTTGTTCAGCTATTTTTTAGTTGGTTTGTAACTTTACACTTGTAAATCTGAGAAGCGAATTTATTGTAAACTAAGTTTTTGAAAAAAAAACACTTGGTATATTCAAAAGCAAGTTTGTAGGCAAATACTGAGGAGGATGTTGGCAATGCATTAAAGTCACTGTGGTGAGCAGCGATTGCAAGCCCAGAATTATCAGGTTCTGAATCTTGCAATTAACAGAAGTTATTTTAATCCTTAAGGTTTTGTAGTAGATTTGTAGCTCGGGTTGTCGGTGTTGAGGATGGTTGGCTCACCGAGCTGGTTTGTTGTTCCGCAGACATTTCATTACCATGCTGGGTAACATCATCAGTGCAGCCTCCGATGAAGCGTTGGTGTGTTTTCCCACCTGGTTTTTAAACTCTGGAGTCCGTTGAGCTGGATTACCTCACTTCCGGTTTTCCTTCACAGTGGAGTGTATATGGGGTCGAGTTCTATGTGTTTATTAATGGCTTTCTTCGTGGAGTGCCAGGCTTCTAGGAATTCCTGTGCCTGTCTCTGCTTAGCTTGTCCCAGGATTTTGGGGTTGTCCCAGTCGAATTGGTGGTTCTCCTTATCCATGTGGATTGAGATTATTTTAATCCTTATTCCAGTTATGAACTGTTATGATGTTTCTTCTGAACAGTGAGCTCATGAATCCTACTGAACAGTTTTTAACTTGTTAAATTTCCCATATTATGCATGACTATTAAAAGAAAATTCTGTAAATGAAGAAGTTAGGACTAATTGTTCTTGTTAGATCAACAGCCTATTAAATCTAACTGTTCCAGCCATACTGAGGCCATAATTAAAGGAAAGATCAAGTATGACAAGTTCCCATACTTTCATTTAGATATATCGTTAATCCAACATTTGCAGGTAGTTATATAATTACAATATGGATTAAAGCTATTTGACCCATTTGGCATCTTTCAATACTTCTTCAGCTGGAACAAACTACTGTAATGTCTTTTGTTCCTTACATCCATTTTTATTGCTCCTTTGTGGAAAAATATGAGGAACTAGTCCCAATATGTACCAGTCGCGTTACCGCAGAGGAACTTCAGCTGGTTTGATATCTCTTTAAATGCAGCAGGAGTCCACTTCAAAAGGCTTGATTGAAAATTTCTGAAAGAAGTGTAATTGGCTAACAGTAGTTCTCAAACCCTCATCAGACATATTGCTAAATTTGCCCAAGTTACTTCAGAGGCGATGGCCTAGTGATATCATCGTTGGACTGTTAATCCAGAGACCCAGATAATGTTCTGGGGACCTGGCTTCAAATCGTTTCGAGGCAGATGGTGGAATTTGAATTCAATAAAAATGTCTGGAATTAAGAATGTAATGATGACCATGAATCAATTGTCGATTGTTGGAAAAACCCATCTGGTTCACTAATGTCCTTTAGGGAAGGAAACTGCCATCCTTACCTGGTCTGGCCTACATGTCACTCCAGACCCACACAATGTGGTAGATTCTGAACTGTTCTCTGGGCAATTAGGGATGGGCAATAATGCTGGCCTAGCCAGCGATGCCCACATCCTTTTGAATTAATTTTTTTATAAAGCCCTTGTACTGTAATGTCAATACAGATAGTTCTCCTATAATGTGATAGTTGCGTTCTTGTGTGACCTCGCAGTATAGAAAATCACATTATAGGTAAATTACTATACGGTGCAGCAGAAAGTTTGTGTTATCGAAACAGCGTCCACTATTCATCAATCGCATTACAGCCAATTTGCGTTAATGAAACGTGCGTTGTAGCAGAACTACCTGTACACAATATTCTGACACCAGTTTCTTCTTTTCGCGGTCTGTTGGGCTGTCGTGAAGTAGCAGAATTTAATCTAGAACTTTTGGCAGTCCATTCCAAAGTAAATTTTTAAAATTAGGGAACACTGTCTTTCGTTTGCTTTGTCCTGTCCTCAGTAATCCTTCTCAGTTAAACCTCATGAAAAGCTACTTCATTAGCCAATGTAACTGGTAATTACCTGTTTCCTTGTATTTTAGTTTGTGTTACGTTTTAAAAAGAATACTGATCTACTGGATTGTGCCGACGTGAAAGGGACGAGGAAAGGCCGTTTGAACAAAGTGGCGTTTTGTAATTCCAAAATGTTTAAATACTGTCCTATTGTCTATCCTTTTAATTTAATTTGAAAACTGAATTTAAAAGAAAATTACTGAGCACATTAGTAACTTTACAGGAATTACATAATCTCATTTTCTACTTTGCTTTCATTATCAGGTTATGCCAGTTTGTCTAAGCATGTGGATCCACTATCCATGCCGTTGACTGAGAATGTAGCTGGTGATCAAGAATGTGGCAGGTTAGCTGGATTGGAAACAAACAAACCAAACATCAGCCTGTTCAAAGGGAAGAACAAGGGAAAAACCACTATGAATGCATTTCAAACTCTTTCAATACTTCCACAAAGAATTATTTCAAGAGGGTATGAAATTTAGAAAGACGGTATAAGTAAAATCAATATAAACATTACTGTTTGACTTCTTTAAGTTTCCTCTCTGAGATAGCTGAGTCCTGCTGACAACTTGTTAACACATGCTTGTAACCATCTGCTCTTTCACACATGTGGCTTTTCTCAATGTGTGAAATCACTGCCTGAGCTTTTTTGTGCATTGCCTGCACGTGCAGAGCAATTTCGGCAAGTAAAACTCTGGCAAGTTGATTTCACCTAAATTTTACAACCCCTCGTATCTTTTCTTTGGTGGGTATTGACTATTTAATGAAGACATTGTTTTGAAAACAGAACTTATATATGTGTTGCAAATGCTGGAAATGCTCAGCAATTTGTGTAGCCATCTGTGCAAAGAAACGGTTATCAACCTGAAACATTAACTATCAGAATAGAGGACGTATATAAACATAACAGGCTTTGAGCAACTTAAAATGGGCTGAGGATGAGGTGTAAGAAATAACAAAAGAGCAGATATGATGGACGGCAAGTGACATTAAATGATAAAAGGTTTCATGATAAAAATGCCAGAGGGAGTGACACTGAATATACCCAAACTAGTGCAAACATCATTTTGAAAGTATGTTGATGGATTGGATTGGATTGAACAGACTCAAGGAGTTACTAACATTGTCCTGTTCAGAGATGTGAGGATAGACTTGACAGCAAGAGCAGGAACTGTTCAACCTTTTCTCTTGTCTGCACTATGCTGTTTAGGCCTTACTACTGTATCAGAGTGCACTGAGGACATAGACTTGGTTGACTTGCAATTTCTCTGTCAGGGTGCTGTTGTTCTACACATTCTCTCATGTGGTTTGAACATTACAGCTGTAGCTTTTACAATGCATGTGTTGATTTCAGTATCACGTAGCAGATTGGTGAAGTCTAGATTTGTGAAACGATGGATTCCTTCAGTATCACATTATCGGTGCTGATTAGTGGTATTGAAGCATCCTTAGTGGAGACATTCTACCTCCTGATGTTGATGACAACCTGTTTTTTGCTGATACTAGAGATGAAAAGACAGACTTCTAAAGAATTTTCCCACAACATCAGGGAGATACCTTCATAGTTGTTGCAGTCACAGCGGTCATCTTGGTTTTTGCCCATTTCCCGTACTTGAGTTGAGGTAGTATAGCTTCGTCACCAGGAGATTTGCCAATGGCAAGTGAGTCTGTGGCATTGCTAAGCTGCTTCACTACGATTGTTCTCAGTACATTGGAAGTAACAAAATGCAACAGCAGTATTTAAGGAAGAGCAAAACAGGAACTATAGGCCTGTTAGCCTGACTGCAGTCCATAGAAAATGCTGGAATCTATTATTAAGGAAATGTTGACAATGCACTGAGAAACTCATAGTATAATTAGACAAAGTCAAATAATTTTTCAGAAGTGAAATTGCGTTTGACAATTTTTAAAGTTATTTTACTCATTGGGCAGATAAAGAGGAATTAATTAATGTAGAATACTTGGATTTACAAAAGGCATCTAATAAATAAGATGCTGCAGAAAATGTTAAGATAAAAAGGCCCACGGAGTTTTGGGTGTTATGTCAGTGTGGATGTACAAGAAGCAAAGGGCAGTTTCAGGTTAGTCAGCTGTATCAGATCTGCAGTCTCAGTATTTAAAACTGTCATTAATAACTAACTGAGACAAATATCAAGAGGAATGTATTTAAATTTGCTGACAATATAATATTAGATGGAATGCAAGGTGTGAAGTAGACACGGATACTGCAAAGGATTAGTTAAGATTTAAGAGGAACCTGAGGGGCAACTTTTCATGGAGAGAGTGCTGCGTGTATGGAATGAGCTGCCAGAGGAGGTGGTAGAGATGGGTACAGTTACAACATTTAAAAGATATCTGGGATAGGTACATGAGTGGGAAGAGTTCAGAGGGATATGGGTTAAATGCTGGCAAATGGGACTAGGTCAGTTTAGGAACCCGGTCGGCATGGACAAATTGGATCGTGCTATAAAACTCTATGACTCTAAGTGAGTAGTTTGTTACATGGGGTCAGACCAAATATAACATCAGGACGTATAAGCTTATTGATAACAGTGTGGAGCTGGAGGAACACAGCAGGCCAGGCAGCATCAGAGGAGCAGGAAAGTTGACGTTTCGGGTAGGGCCTCTTCTTCAGAAATGGAGAGGGTGAAGGGAGCTGTGAAATAAATAGAGAGAGGAGGGGTGAGGCTGGGGAAGGTAGGTGGG